CGTGGTGTTTGTTTTTTGTGTTGCTGAACGTGCGCCCGGGCGGGGTTTTGTTTCCGAAAAGGCTTGGGGGGCCCCGGGGGGCGGCCCCCCCCCCCCCCCCCTTAATTTTAGACCAAACCGGGGCCCCAACGGCCGGAAAATTTTTTTTGGGAAGACCGCCGCCCCCCCCCCCCCCAAGGTCTGGGTCCGGCACTGGACAGTGACTTTCTGGAACCTATTTTGGAACAATTTTTACCTTGAACATTTTCACTTCTTTTAGAAAAAGGGTGTCAGCCAAAACCAAATTAAGGCTCCAGAAGACTGTACGGGATCCATTTTTGTTTTCTGTTTCATGCCTTGTTTCGGGGAAAAACCCTGACAGAAAGTGAAACCTCCGAGTAGGGGTTTTACCCAACAAATTGGCAAAAGCAGGTGGTTCAAAGCACCACTGAACCATAAACCAGTTTCTAATTATGGACAAAAGGAAAGTTTCTGGTATAATTCCCCTGTTAGATTTTTGATTTAGTTGCACATTCCACCATTGGGCTCGTCCATTGAAAGAGGAAAACTTTGAAGCACAAACTAATATGCTTTTAGAGGCAACTTTAACATTTCAACAAACCGGGATTTTTTTTGTAAACTCTTCGTTAGTATACTGGCTTGTAATATTTTTGTGTATGACGTGAGCTAAACCTTCAGTCTTGTTTCCTAACATGTAGTCTATGCTTCGTATGCGTCTTCCCCTGAATATAAGAATAAAGTAAACAATCAGTTTTGGTAAACGGGACTAGTTGGAATTCGATCGAAGAAAAACTTGAGTTAAAAATTTTTGTCGACTGTCCCATAAAGTCAGTTCTCCGTGATTGTTGGTTGTGGCGACTTTTAGACTGGTCGGGGATTCAATATCACGTAGAATCACGAATAGATTATTAATTTGATTGCCCACTTCCTGCTTCTATACATAGATATAACGAAGTGCTGAAGTTGCAAAAGTTTTTTTTTTTTAAATAACAAGCTGCTGGCAGGAGTTCAGCGTTATCGGATCGCTATAGCCTCCTTAGTACATTAGCTTTCAGTCATTCTACAGGGTCCTCTACAGATTACAACATCAAGAAAGCTGACTGTTAACGGGTCTGTGAGTCAACGAGTCAGTCAGTTCGTTTACACATGTGTAAGCAAGTGTAATTAGAATTTGAGGGCGGTACGTACAAGCAGGAACAAGGTCCAAAGAAATCAGAGGACTTTCCAAAGTCGTCTTTCTGTGATTTGGTTAGTTGCAGAATTATATAACGTCAACGGTACTATTTTCAATGACTTTGCACGGATCAGACGCCTTAAGGTGAGTTTTTTTTAGTTGATCTAAATTAAAGGAACATTCAACGCCGGTTTATACTTTGGAGGAGTGATCGCAGGGGCACCCAACGACTGTTTTCTGTAAAATATCTGTTCGGAGAAGCAAAAATTGCCTAGAATTTTCTAGAGCTTGACGAAGGCTAAAAATTTCTAGATGACCGTTTCATTCTTGTTCAATTTTCGTAACATATCTAATAAATTCCCCACGATTTTCTAAAGTTTAATTTTTCGCATTTCAGTACCCAAGTTAGCCTATGTTTCGTAGAAAAAGGAAACCTAACATTTTCGGATTCAAAAATGCGATTCAGAGAGGAATCAGAAAAATTCTCACTGTCGTAAAACTTAAAACTGCATCTAAAATTTTCGAAAAAATAATACGGAGGCCCTTGTAGTTTCGAAAACACTCAAGTTGCCCTTTGACGACCGAACAGATACAAATTTTATAGCGCCGCTTAGAATGCATTTCTAGAGATCTGAAAGTACTTTGGATAGCCTAAAAAGTGTTTCCAATGCATTTAGGAGGAAACCATCGCTGGGTGACCTGTTATCGGCTCTGCTTTCCGGGAATTCCTGAAGCTCCCGGTTATTTATAGTCCGAGCGAAGCGTTCTGATTTGCTTCAATTCGCCTTACGTGGAAAACAGACCAAACAAGCCTGACGAAGGATCGAGTTTAAAACTGAAATATCGGGCACAGTATAAGAAACAAACTATTTCTAAATTTTGTTTTGTTTCGATATTTTTCTCCCCGTTTGCCGAATAAAATGAGTCCTCTCTTGCGCGAGATGATTGGACACTAATATTCCCAGCCCCCTCTTGCTTTTCGGATAATGAAAAGCACGTGACCTACGTTTTGGCATATAAAGATGCGCATGTGTCAAACTCAGAGTCATGCCGGAAAATGGTGGATTGATGTGTGCTGGAGGGAGTTTCCGTTTCTCTTCAGCGTTTATCGCTGACTTCGGAGAAAATGAGTGAAGCCAACGAACCAGACTTCTTCGGACAAGACCTCCTTTCAGAAGCTTTGGGACAAAGTGGCCTGAATCTCGATGAATTCTTTGGAAATGCACCCGGCAGTGTTCTGTCCCAGTCAATTTTTGATGTTGGTGATATTGGGCCAAACGATTCCGACTTCCTCGATAACATAAATCTGGGTGAAAATTTGAGTCAGGACTCTCCGTTTATAACTTTTGCAGCTCAAAATAATGGTCCAATTTCTTCTAGTTCTGCGAGTACCCTGGAAAAACCACAAGTGACGGGAATCCAGACAACTTTTTTAGACCTACAAGAAACACTAGGTCTTCCTAACCTCATTTCTCAAGGAAGTATTTTTGACAGTCCTGGTCAGAGTGTGCTAACTAGTCAAAGCCGACAAGGTGCATCAAAAATATCTTCTCCTTTAGGTTTACAAAGACTGCAAAACTCGAATTCTTCACCGTTATTGCTTAATTTATTGAACAGTGAGAATTCTTCATCTTCCAGCGTTGCAAACAGCTCCAACGATACCAAGAGGGAATTAACGAGAAAGTAAGTTTCAAACTAACTTATTTCCATTTTAGGTGTTGTGAATCATTTAACTTTTTTGTAAACTTGTAGTATTCATCTTTTTCAAAGTTGTTTTTGTTATGTGTTTTAAACGAGTACAAATTTAGTTTCTTTTATTGTTTTGTTACTTGCCACTTCCTGTCTAAACTGTGCTCTTATTTCCGGTTCGATTTTATTCATTGTCCTTGAGAAGAGAAGATCTGGAAATTAATAAAATTAACAGTCTAATTCCTAATGGACAAGATACATATATATATTCAAGCGCAGCAATGGGAATATCTAGGTTATCACTTGATTTAGAGGCTAAAATTTATAGTGTTGCCTCCATTTGTAAACTGAAAGGCACTCTCACCTGTAACAATAGTTTGTTGCAAGTCAAATTTGTTTCTTCTATTCAGACGCACTGCTAAGTCAATCAATATTATTTATATCCAAATTAATGATGCAACAGTTTTTATTTATACACAATGAATGTTAAAGTGTTTGCCTTCGGGATAATGGGGTGTTCCGGAGGTGTGGTCCCATGCTTTAAACACCTCAAACCTCAGTGTTGTAGGTCCAGGTTCAAGCCTTGATTTGTTGTTTTATTGGACAAAATAAAACATGGCTTTTTTATGTCTTTCTTCACCCAGTTTTATAATTGGGTATCAGCAACATCCTGCAGGTTGCAACCTTGTCCAGGTGGAAGTGGCAATACAGTAAAACGCTGCGAAGAAGAACCTAGAATTTTTGAAGTTTAGCAAAATAGATTCTTGTAGTTTGGAGTACTTATTGGAAGTTTAGGCTAAATAGGTTCTTAATTTTTATGAAGAAGGATACTTTTGTTGATTACAAGAAATTGCTATAAATGGTATTTGTCCTTCATAATAGGCATTTATTTACCAAAAATCTAACAAAACTAGGTTAACAGCTAGAAGATATGCAGTTTTCAACAATGGTTGTATACATTATACATTTATTATATAATGTAATATAAATTTCCCATAATAAAGCCAGACCTTTGATCAAAATGTTTATGAAAATGTAGTCTAACCCCACATATAAGAACCTGTTAATTTTTCTTGGCTAAACTGGTTCTTTTATTTTGGAGTATTAAAATGACGAATTTCTGCCAGCAGGTTCTTAAATCCTAGGTTGTTCTTCACGGCATTTTACTGTGCTTCAAAGTGCTTCACATAACTAGTACTGTGCTCGCCTTAGAAAACAGCTGACATTTCATGACACCACGAATGGTTTCCCGATAAAATGGCATCTAAGGAATGAGCACAGATATTCCCTACTGATGACGTATCATACCCAGTTCTGGGTAGT